TGTGTGTGTGTGTGTGTGTGTGTGTGTGTGTGTGTGTGTTCTCTCTGTGACACATGTTTAAAAACCCAGAAACTATTGGATCATGTTTTATTTATCACTGTAACGTGTTCAGGGACCTGGAGAAAAAGGGGGTTGATCGTGCAGATGTGCGAGTGGGCGATTAAACAATCATTATCGTAAATATTATTTGATGTAAATATAACAAACCTTCCAAAAACTCCGAAGCTAAAGTCAGTTTGTAAACTTGACAGAAATGATAATGTTACATTGACGCTGATGATTCTCAGTATTAACTGATGGAAAACGTGCGTCCTGAAAACATTTTGGCCGTTTGCAGAAGTTGTCGTTGAACGTGCTATTTTCACTCAGCTCCTGCATAGTTTGGCACTGATGCAACCATGTGTTCCATTCAGGTGTGCTGCTAATAGTACGACGTTTGAGCACTCTCTCTTTCTGCCTGACACACTTTTACCACATTAAATATCCAGCAGTGTCTGGTTCTGTCAGTTCAGGGTTTTTTTTATTTAAGGGTTTCTGTGCCACTCGACTCCTCCGATTACCGAGCAGCAGGCCCGAGTTATGCAAAGCAGATAATAGCACCCAAGACACTTGCCAGTTTATTTCCCAGGGGTGAGAAGTCACTTTTTCTTTTTCTAACAATAAGAGCTATTATACAGAGTTTGTGCTGGTGGTGCGTCATCAGGTATTGAGCCACAGCTGGATCTAATTCTGTCAGGCGGTGCAGAGGCATCTGTCAGGGAGGAATTGCAGGGATGACTGCGGTGAGAAATCACCCACTGGACTACAAACGGAACAGATGCTGGCAGATGTTGGCCGTGGCCATTTTGAGCTGTGTTGTGGGTTTGTATTGTGCACCAGCAGGTAGCCAGATCCCGGCTCGGCAACAAGACAAAGCTACAAACATGGGTCTTAAGATAATGGAAAGAGCTGAAGGTGAAATGTGGGGATGAGATGATGTAAACTCTGGCAGAGGCCGAGGCTGATTTTTCATGTGCATGTGTCTGCTGGTGAAGATGGATGAACTCCGTGGGTGTGGAGAAGTATGCAGAAGAGATGTTTTGAACGTTGAAGTTGGATTTCTCTTAACTCGAGCTCAGATTACAGGGTTTTCTACAATCCTGCTTTTTTTTAAAACTACTGACACACAAGGAGAAACTGATTTTTCTACACGGGATGAATTGCAAACAGTCCCACGACCAAGCGCAGCACTCAACTAATCTGCCCAGGGGGGTTTACACACCACTGCAGCTTTCTGCTTTGCAGCGACAGAGTCGTCTTTCTCTCCGAGCTTCTGAGGCTTTTTCCTCAAGCTTTCTCTTTGTCTGTATAAACATGGACAAATGAAAGTTATGTGTTAGCTGGGGCAGACCGTGCCGCTAGCTTTACCCTCGTATCAATGGCATCCAATATAAAACTACATGGTGACGCTCCAACCTCTGTTTCGAAAGGTTCTCTATAGATGTTGTTTAAGCTTTAGCCTTTAGCTGACTTAAGTTTTGTTATTTTTCCTCTGTGTACATATTTCAATAGAATCCTTCAGATTTAAAATCTATCACACAGTTTAGATTTAATCAGAGCTGCAGTGATTTAGTCAGAAAGGGTAAAATCTTACGTTACCAAAAATTCCGTGCTGAGAGAAAGACCTCGGACATGTTTCTTTTCCAAAATATCGTCAGAAGGGCTCGACAACAGTAAAACTACCGTGTATATAGTATTTATACATCAGGGGCTGGAAACGAGAGTGGAGCTGATGTAGAGAGAGAAACCAGCTCAGTGTGATGAGACACAACACGCATCCATTTTTAAAGGTTTATTAATTAACAACAACCGACAGGAAACAGAGAAAAGTGCTTTTAATTCGTTTCATTATTTAAAGCCACAGGTCAGAAAAATACATTTCTTTTCACTTTAGTGCAGCTGGAAACATCGAACATCGAAATATCATTACTTCAATTGTCATAGGAAGCAGAATTTCCAGTTTAGAGTCAGAGGTTTAGAGGTTTGGGTCAAAGCAGAGAAAAGCTTCAGGTGTGTGTTGGTGCAGGAAGTTTGCTGTGTGTAGGAGGTGTGAATACCAGCAGGAAAATGTTTTTGCACTTTTATTTTCTGTTAAATTTTTCAGGTTGGACCCATTATCCTCCTACGACTTATTTCCAGACAGCGATCATCCATAGATCTTTTTTTTCCTTCAGTTTATTTTGGTCAGCATAGTCTGTCCCATGATTCATCGATGGTATGAGTTTACTTGTAGTTACTTGTGGAATGGCATGCTCGTTGGTCAGACATGGCGCCTGAAGCATTGCAGGAATGGAGGCAAGAGATCCCAGAGATGGGGCAACATTTGTGCAGCTTGGCTCCGCCCTTCTCCGTCTCCCACCAATATAAAAAAACCAACATGTTTTCGCCTACACTGAGTTTTATCTGTGCAAACAGGGAGAGCTGTGTCGTTCTGAGAAATGCCCCGAAGGGATGGAGGGTGGGGGTGAAGTTCAGCAGCTCTGGTGGGATCCCAGTCTTCTTCTTTGCATTTACGAAATGGATAAAACGTATTTTCTGTAAATCTATAATACAGAATATTATTACAAATATGTGCAAGTCACATAGAATCATCAAATTAATTCTCATTTCAATGAGCTATTTTACACTTTTTGTCATTGCACAACACCAGAATCCTCCTGTGGTGGTTTTCTTTAGTGTGAATTCACATTTTGAAAGTTTTCTTTCTGAGCAGTGTTTTAACAGATTAGTCTGTTGCATAAATACTACAATACCCATGAGCCTCGGCAGCTTTTGCTATGAAGTCGATCAGATGTTTGAATCAAAGGTGCAGCAAATAGTAAACACTTAATTGTTGTAATTATAGTGTAGAGTTGACACAGGATTTATCTTCTGCCTGTTGTTTGTAGTTTTAAATGAATTTTACCTCCAGACGCCTGAATTTACAAAATAACTCTTATCTGTTGACAAAACTTGTCTTTACTATGCCGCTGCTGTATTTACTATCTACAGTTGTTACGTTCTTAGCAGGACGGTTATATTTCAGACTTACTTCTGCCAGCTGATATTTCACCAAGCAGTAATACCACCATCCTTTGGTCTGATCTGGGGTCAGTTTGTTATTGTTCTTTTTCTGGAAATTCAGGAACGTGTGCAGGCTAATTCAGATTTCATCCATCGCTCAGCTTGAGCTGTGACAATGGTCTGCAGAGCTCAGGTCAAAGTTCAACAGATTTGAACTTTTGGTGCCCCCCCCCCCCCTCCGCTCTGCAGATCTGTCATAACAGTGACAGAATTACTTTCTGTGGTATAAGAATAAAGCAGTAGTCTGGTTTTCATCCTGCAGCTGTTCCTCCTACGAGGACTGTGTCATAGGAGAGATTTTTTTAGTGACCTATTGATTCATACATGAGCACTGAATCTGTCATTTTAAAGTGAAAGTGAAAAACAGGACATGGTCCAGAAACAGAATCTAAGCTTTCAGTAGAAAAAAACTGTAGTTTAGATTCAGTACGTGTCACTTTTCTGCGTTTATTGCAGATCTTGTGCCTGTGATCCTCGCTCTCGTTTCTCCGTGTCCTCTCTTCTCTTCTCTCCTCTGATTCTTTTCCAAACACTGTACATCCCACTATTGCATTGTCGCCCGTCACGTACGGCGTCTGACAGGAACATGTGCATTTGTTCCGCACGTCATCCCATCTGCCCCGGAGGAGTAACGCTGCTGTGGCAGAATGCAGAGTATGTTCCTCCAGATAAGACTGTCAGATGGTGTTAAATGTCTGATCACAGGGGAGAATCGCAGGCAGAGTGGCGGTGGTGGTGGTGGGGGTGGGGGGTGGGGTCTGAGGCTGCAGCAGGGAGGGCTCCTCACTTGGTTTGACCCCACGATGCAGCGCTGCGCTCTCACAGGTCACTGATGACCACGTAGCAGAGGTATGAAGTGACTGGGCCGGACTTGTGCAACCACAACTATGCATAGATGTGATGCAGAGGAGGGGGGGCAGGTCAGGTGGTATTTTCTGACCCCCCTCACATTCCCTTATTATGCCTTAGGTATTCACCAACGCTGCTTCTGCCCCACTGATACTGAATCTGACATCCAGGTTATACCAGACTGTAACTGGAGCCATGTTTGAGACGTCACTGAGAATATTATAATCCTGATATCAGGCTGGAAAAGAATCTTCCTCATTTACCAGATAACAGCTGATTGACAAGAAATTCTGTTGTTTTGAGTTACTCTTCAAACTCCAGGTATCACCTTGGGCTCTTGGAGACGGTGATGAGTATTGTTTTTGCCATTTTCTGAGATTTAAAATGATCTAAATGATAAATCAGTTGGGCGCTACATGTTGGCATTTTCCTTCTTATCCCTCAGACAGCACGTACAACACATAACAACACGTATGAGGAATTAAAGCTCTGATCACTTAAAAGCGCTTCTAACGTCCCTGTGCTCACGATGTAAACAGACCAGTGTTGGCTTTAATTTTAGAATCTGACAAAAGCACCAACACTTTACTTGACCACATTCTTCATGCTCAAACTGTGTCCCTTCCTCCACAGGCGCAGATTGGCAGCATCATGGTTTGGCTCCGCAGTGCCCTCGTGACCGGCTGCATTTCCTGGAATAAGCTGGAACCTGAGCCTTGAGAGCCGCACCATGGAATGTCTGTAGTATCCCCACATCATCCTCAGCCACCCCACCAGCATCGGCAGGAATCAAAAACACAAAGAGAGACGCAAACAAATAAAGGGACACACGGGGACTCCCAGATCTGCTGCGGGACACTCTTTATCTATTTAGGTCAGCCAGCTTGAAAGGGATCCTTCGGAGGGTGCAGGGGAGCGACTGTCCGTTTGTGCGAGTGCATGTGTGCGTGTGTGTTTCCCTTTTAGAGTAGGTGCCTGTCCTTGGGCACTGAGGCCATGAGGCCAAAGACTTTCCCGGCCGCCCCGTACGTTGGCAACACGCGCCAGAGGCTTCAGGAGATCAAGGAGGGTCTGAAGCAGCCGGCCAAGCTGGTGAGCCAGGCCCTGCACGGGGGCAGCTCCCGGGCAGACGGCGGCAGAGGGGCCGACTGCAAGAGCGGGAAGGACACAACCAGCCGACAGCAGCAGCTCCGACCCCCGCAGAAGTTCAACAACTACCAGAATGCCCTGCGGGAAATCCGCAAGTCGCTCATGCCCTTCGCCAATGAGTCGGGTCCATCCTCCGGGTCGGGGCACCCAGCAGGTGCTGGGGAGGTGAACCGGCAGATGCTGCAAGAGCTGGTGAACGCCGGCTGTGATCAGGTGAGTCAGACATATATGCTGAATTTATATTATTGTCTTGGAAATTGGTGAAAATGTCCCAAAACGTCTTATCGCTCAATGATAATGAAAGTTAAAAAGAAGGTCTGGGTCGTGATGGATTATTTTGAGATCAATCCGTCCCTCCGAGTTAATATGTCCGGTAATTTCGACGTAATCCTGCTGACAAACACACAAACAAACAAACGGACAGGGATGAAAACATTACATCCTGGATGGAGATAATAATTGGACAGAAATGTGAACGGAAGAGAGTATCCTCGTCAAAATGAGCGAATGTTTCGACCTTTTAACACCTCAACCAACTCCATCAACTCTTATTATAGATTTTGTATATTAGAAGCAGAATGAGAAAGGGTGAGCTGTTGTGTGTCTTGATGCAGTGTATGAATCTGTTGCTCTGGTACCCTCAGACATGCAAAGTCACTCTGCCTCCGTCAGTCAGGAATTCTTCAATGAAAGTAGCGGAGAAAGAATGAGAGCCGTACGCTCATGGATGCAATACAATACACGACGTCCTGGCCAAGTGCACAGTGCTGCCTTTACATTACACAGGCCTGAGCGTCGATATGTTGAAATATCAGGTGGATTTCTTAACCGTCAGAGTTGAGGAATGCAAATGCGCCATCAAACGTCCAGAGAGTTTCCCTGGCTGTGTTACTCTCGACCTTCGCCCGTAGAAATCACTGAAGGAGTCATGTGGATCCTGTTAATCAGGGGTCACTTCCCAGGAGTTGGAGGAGAGGTGACGTCAGCATCACACCACAACCCTGCATCTCCAAATGTTCAGAGCAGATTTATTCATCTGACAGATTCAGAGCTCATCCGCAAAGAGATGAATGTGTGAAATAGTTCTGTTGATTGTTAAACGTTGCATCAGCGATGACGCTGAGGGGACTTTCATATCAACACCAAGGGTTGAGTTGGAGTAGATCTGTTGCTATGATGTTCTGTGAGAAGATGAAATATAACAAGAGGTTAATCCTGATACAGGACTCACTGTGAAATGATTGAGGGAGTCTGGAGTCACACTTAATGTGCCCAACTTATTGTTCAATTATATTCTTCAATTTGTTGTAAAGTTCTCAGAGCAGAAGCTTCTCAGCCTCCCAGAGAACAAAAAGCTTTCAAAGAGCTTGATCCATGATGTGTTCAATTCTCCCTAAAAGGCCATCTCTCTATACTCTACACTGCACACTGCTATATTCACTGTGACCAATATGAATCTACCAGTGTTATTTTATCTGATCTGGTCTGAAAACAGTGAAAACGTCCTCATATAAAGACTCATATTAGGGCCGTTAGGATATTAGTTTGTAAAGTGCTGTTCACAGATCTTTTCCGATTCATCTGTTGTAGATCGACTCGTGTTATTAAAATCCGCGTGAGAGATTCCAGTTTGTGCAAGTTCGGGTTTAAAAACGGGGTCAAAACGCGTAACTGCAGCGTCACACGCGCTGTGGGACGTTTGAGTTTCTGCTCTGTGTCTGTTCACATGTTCTCAAAAGCGCTTCTTTGTTCAGTGTGTTGTGTAACTGCGCTGCTGTTGACACAGATTTTATTCACACAGTTTAACTTTTAACAAAACTAAACTCACTCGATCATAGACTTTAAATAAAGATGGACGACCTGTCTCCACTTCCTCCTGTTTGCTCAAATAAAGCCAAAATATCATGGACACGGGTGCCGCCATCTTGCACACAGATATTCCACTGTATTGATTGTGGCGTGGAGCTTCTGCTTTTGAAGCCCCACTGAAACACGAGCTCGAGCAGTTGCGAGGCAGTCCAGCTGCCATTTCCTCAGCTGGTTGACGTCCATTGCTGCCACCATTATGAATGGACCATACAAGTGCGGGCCCAGTCAATACAAACAGGAAGTGAACATTCAATGGCAGCAGGGTGGAACAGTTCCTCCTGCTGCAGACAAGTCTCCACCCAACTCGTCAACTCCCGAGCTCTGTATGTGATTTGGTTCAAATCTGGATTTGGAATAATCCGGGTCGGTGTGATCTCTTATGTCTGAAATCCTAAAATTTTAAAAACTGGAACTTAGATTTCAGTTAACTAGTAAATGATTGGCTACTTGCTGCATCTTCACATCACCTAATGTTTACTAAAACACTGCGTCTGCATTTGAAGATGATTTGCGTCACAGAGCCGTGACAAGGTTGCTCTATTTCAAAGGCTCCTTCAAATGCGGCCTACAGATGTGTCCTTTTCTCCAATAGGTGGAACCTTCTTGGGCCAACATTTCCCAGGATTCATTGCACATCGGCGATACATAAAGAGATAATGGTAGCAGCAAGCGATGAGACCAAAATGTCTGACACTTTTAAAGTTTTATGGTTCAACTCAACCGAGCAGTTACATGTGTTAAAGAACAAAGGGGACTTTCTTGACCCTCTCATTTCTGTTTGTCCTTCATTGTCTACGCAGCCTCTGACTTTTTTTTTTTTTTTTTTTTTATCAACCAGCTTCTTCTTCCGCCTCCTTCTCTCCGTCTTTCCCGTCTTCTCCGTCTGAAACTTACAGTGTGCAGTGTGGCTCGTTACATAATCACTTTTTCTTTTTTTAAGAAGGAAATGCTTTGGAGGGGGAGTGAGGGTGGGGGGGATGTAGTGGCATGCCACGCACCGAGATGACAGAGAAGGAAAGGAAGTGAAGGGAAAGGAAAGGAGGGAGCGGTCAGCTGCAATCCCAGCAGGCCTCTTGCTGTATGTGCAGGACAAACTGCGGCGGCGAAGGAATCTGTAGCGCGATGAGTGTTTTAAAACTGTGTTCATGTAACAGTGAGGTCAGCTGAACGTGACCTGGAAGCTGTGGATGAATCCTGGCTTCCCTCGCCTCACTCTGAAATCATTTGTCAATATGGGGAAACTCACTTAAGCATACTTGTTTTGTTTGTGTGCGTTGCTGCCATGGACGAGGGAGAGGAACGGAGGAAGATGGCGCAGGTTTTCATGGATCTGTGTGTGGAAATGATGCGTCCCTCTCGGAGCGTCCGTCCAGCTGCGCGCTGCTCCTGAACGTCCTCCATGTGGCTTTGATTTGAAGGGAATGTGTTTCTGGTTTGGTCAAGTTCGGAGGATAATGTTGTTGACCATCACAAGAGAAGAGTGTGTGTGTGTTTGTCTGTGTGTGAGCCCCTCAGCTTTTGTCAAGCTGTATGTGTGTGGACTTTGTAGGCTGGTGATTATGCATTTGGGATAAGTCGGCGGCTCGCAGCCCGCAACCATTATGACAAGAGTGAAAATATGGCCGGGATATTTTCGACTGGGACACAGAGAGAGACTATCCAGATTGCGAATAGCTTGAATTCTTGCTTCCTGGTCTGAGGAATGTGAGCAAGGAACATCTGTCGCCATGACAGCCGGGGTCACAGGGCCCGCCTCTGCACACGCACGCACACACGCGCACAATCAAAAAGAGGGACAACAAACAGTGGAAAGAAGAGTGGTTTTGAGATGACTCTCTGAAGTGTTCAATGTCAGCTTAGATATCTGTGGTTAAGTTTGTCAAAGATGAGTTAAAACCTTATTCCTGTTTTTCTACATAGTTTCTGTTTGACACAGAAAACACTGAGATATACTTTCAGTTGCTTCAACGTGTCCAGTCAGATGTGATTTGGATGAGCAGTAGGTTTTGTCTGTAAAATACTGTATTCAAAAAAAAAGTCTCTGAAGTTTGTCTTCCTACGGATTGAATTCTTCCCCCACTTATCACAACTACTTTGCAAAGAACTATATTGTCTGATGTTTGCAACAATTCTGCATTTTTCACATGTAAATCAGAGTGAAACACGTTCATGTGTCGAAAAACTGGGAATTCAAGAAGGGCCGTGAGTAATGAATGTTTTCTTCATTGCTGTATCTGCCTGTTGTTTTTTCACTTAAGTTATTATTGATTCTGTCTAGAAAATGTAAGAAAATACCCCTGTGATTTTCCCACAGCCCAAGTTACTCAGCTTGTCTTTAAGCCAACTGGACAATTGGCTTAGGACAGTTTGTCGTCCCACATCTACCTCTCTCCTTGTTTTCTTTAAGCTCTGTTCTTTATCCACTAAAAGCAGAAATCCTTTCACCTTTTAAACCATATACATTTGAATAAGTCTGCATTAATTCCGGCCATTAAATCCAATTAGTCGTTATAAGAATGAGAGATTCATGTGAGAAGCATGAGAGAGAGAGAGAGAGAGAGAGAGAGAGAGAAAGGGGGACATAATGTGACATTACAGGGCGGCTCTCTCTCTCTCTGCTCGCTACACAGGAATGCAACAGACATCCTCGTACACACAGGAAACAGAGTATAAACAGTGGTGTGTGTGTGTGCTTGCGCGTGCGTGCGTGTGTGCAGTCAGTCTCAGGGACATACAGTTATTTATGTACACCTATGTAGATCACTGTGATGGACACTACACACACACACACACACACAACAGAAGCCATAGAAAGTGTGTGGCCGTGGTATTTCCTGGCTTTGAGAGCTGACTGTGCCCACAGTTTCTGTGCGCTTCTACTTTTAAACCATTTATGTTTGATTTAGTTTCCTCCTGATGAATAAAGGCGGCCAGTCAGTCCGGGAAACTGCAGGAGGAAGGGGTACAAAATGGCGGCACAGGGCATAAAGCCTCTCTCCTGAGCTGTTCTTGCATTTCCTGACACTCAGAGGACAAAAAGTATATATTTCATTTATTCCATTATCATTCTTTGCTTTTTTACATGAAAGAAAACTCAAGGTTGTCATCAAGGTGTTTTTTTTTTACCAGCTTCAAAATGAATACTACCATTATATATAATATAATGCAGGTTAATTCACGTAACATCTGTCAAACATGGTCATAGTTCAAAGTGTTTTTACATAAGTCAAAGATTTACATAAGAAAATACCCGTCCATCCATCCATTCTCTACAGTTTATCATCTTTGGGTCATGGACTTGGACTGGAACCTTAAGAAAATCTTGCAACACAGTTAAATCAGTTAAAGTAGATAAAAGTACAAATGAGAGAGAAACAACAAACACAGTTTCAGTGCAGTAATAAGTTGCACCAGAGAAAATTCCAGTTTGAAGTTGCAGCACACTGAAGAGCATCGGAGAGTTTCTTCCATCTGTGTTCTGCCTAGTAGCTAAATTATAGTTTTACCATTTTGCTTCTGACCCCCAGGCTCTTTTATCTGAGTGCTGAGCCAGGCCTCTGACTGATTTATAAACTCGCTGCAGCCCTTTAAAAACTTCTAAAATAATCTTGAAGCCATTGTAAAGATTTAGGAGTGGGAATAATGTGCTCACTTCTCCTGGTTCTTGTTAGAAGTCTGGCAGCCGCAGTCTGAATTCACTGCAGGTGTTTAATGGGGACGAGTTGTGGAGCGCTCTTCCCAAAACTATTTTCTTAATTCAAGTTCTACATATTTAATTGTACTTGTGTTCTCTCTTTTTTATAGTTATCTATAATAAAGTTTATGGTTAAACTATAAAATATCCTGCAAAAAAAGTTTTAATTGTATTTCTAGGTCTCGAGGTTTCAAGAACATCAGCTTTAGAATCACTGCCAATATCTTTTTGATGTGTATCAGCCGATATATGGGTATGAGAAAGTTTTTATTGATTAAGTCATGGATAAAAAGTTAAGTTCAATGATAAAAACAAAATCAGTAAAAAGTAAAATGCATAGAAGATAAGTCAAAAAAAATGATGGGTATTAACGGACTTATCAGACTTGAGCTGAATTTAAAGGCAAGAATAAAAAGTTAGAACGTAATTATTTACTTTACTTTTATTATAGATAATCAACATTGGGTCCTGACGCAGAGATTGTGGGCAACAGCTTGGTTTAATTTTGTAGATTTATTTAAATGAAAAGAAGTAAATACAATTTCAAATAGATATTAATCTTTAAATATAAATGCGCCTATTATTTTTTTATTTAATGGACTTTAAACATGGAAAAATTATGGTTGGCAAGTTGGTATGTTTTACTTCTTTTTCTCATCAAAAATCAGAAACATGTGATTTGCCCGGGGCTGGGCTGTAAAGCCAGAATTTAACACTGTCACGGTTTGTGGTTGAACTCCCGCTGTGACCCCATGAATAATGACATGCACTTAATGTCATCTGTAAAAGTCTCAAGCCCTTAATTTGTAGTTGCCGTCCCTCTGTGTGGCCAGCAGGGGCGCCTTTTCTGGCTACGTCCGGGCGTCTGGGCAGAGGTCTGAGTATAAATGTCTCTGCAGTGAGGTCATGTGCCATACGAGGGGATTTCCTCATTGAGGTGTGGGTCGCTCTGTGGAGAGGGGAAGACATATTCTGTGTTGTTTAGCTTTCCACCTCGGTGTCCTGCTTGTTTACTTGTTTACTCGTGTAAAGGAAACTGTAAATTAATGCAGTTTGATGGCATAACCTGAAGAATATTTTATTTGCAGGCAAGGGGATGTTATAAAAGTTTGTTTCACTCTGCAGTAAAGAAAGGAATTCTTGTAAAAAGTCTTATTAAAATAGATTCTCCCCATTAAATAAAAATGCATAAATCCAACCCCATAGGAAGAAATGTAGACAAACAAACAAATAAACTTATAATAATGAATATGATGATAAATTATTATATAAATCACCTTATGCTGTATAAAACACTGGCAGCTCGTCCGTGTGCAGCATATAAAGGCCTTCAGTCACTGTACAACACAGTTAGTAACTATCTCTCTCAATACAATGACCTATTTATATCCTGCTGCAGCCAAAAGACGCTGTGTTATAATTTAAGTGTATGAAACCGTCACCGTAATAAAACACATAAACAAAAAAAACCAAAAAAGCCTGTTATAGAGCCAAACCTTTCAAACCATAACCAGAAAATACAATTGCTCACTGTGTCTGAAGCACATGTTCACTGTGTGTGTGTGTGTGGGGGGGGGTTTATTTTACATTTTCAATTTCGAGTTGAATAGCTTCTAAAATCTCCCCCTTTTTAGATTAACATGGACCAAAGGAATGACTGGCATTGCCTAATAAATGGGTCATTAACTGGAAAGGAATGCTCTACATGTTTACTCCTTCGCATTTTTTTGGCCACAACATTTTTCACATAGGTGACCTACATACCAGTGGGTTTTTTACAGTGACCCACCTGTTGGGAGCGAAAATCGCCAGGCAAGGGCTGAGCTCCAGATGTCCCACCTGTGGGTACGAGTGATCGAGAGGGAGGGAGACGAGCCAAAGGGCAAATAAAATACAGATTTACGAGGAGGAGGAGGATGCAATCGACTTGATGCAAAGATCATCAACAGAAGAAACCGTTGCTGCTTCGCCACACACAGTTAACCAATGCAAGTAAAACACTCTGTGTTTTTAAAATCGAGGCCAGGTCAACATTAATAACTTGGGTGGTGCATCATCGATGATGGGAAACTCCCGTATCCAAGATTTCAGAGTTGGCGGCCAAACAGGAATCTTTTTAGCAGGCTTCATTCCCTTGATCCTTTTCACAACATCCACATGTTAACTCTTCCTTGGCCTGTGGTGATGCTGGTTGCAGGTTTCTTTGTGAATCTATAAATGTGACCTGTAGTAATTAGGCCTCAGCAAATAAAGACCGCCTGCAGGACTCGCTCCTCAGAAACCTGAAGCTGCACAAAGATCCTTCCACCTGTTTAAGTTCAGTGAAGCTTGACTCTGCACGTAAAACCCTCAACTGGAGAATCAGGTGTTATTGTCAGCTGCTCATTCAAAGTTTACTCATACTTAATAATAATACATATGACAAGTGTGAAGCCAGTAAGATGAACACAAGAGATTTCTGGAGAAGTGCACTTTGTCCATGATCTAAAACAGAAACTCAGATTTTGTCCCTAAAAGGTAAAAGTGTTCCGGTCATTTATTAGAAATGGACCACGCCCTGCTGACGGGCCTCAGCCACTGAATCAGTCACATGAAATAATTTCACATTACTGATAACCACGTGGCTTCATAATAATTACACTGGCTCACAGTTTTCTTTGAATACAAACTAAGAATCACCATTTCTATTTCTCATGTTTAATTTTTGTTGTTTTGATATTGAAATCACGTTTATCACAAAAAAGTTTCTTTTCCCTTCACAACTTATTTCTATTTTTTGTTTGCCCTCATTTTTGGTGGTATGTTTTTTGTGTGTTGTTGTGACACAGGAAGTCACTGGTGTGTGACCCCATGTTAGGAGGAAGCAGGTGCTTGAGCACCTACTGGGTCACTGTGTATTTAAAAGTTTGTTTTCAATTTCTGGGTCTTCTCATTGGTCTTGTTCACCAATCATATAGTTCCCTTAATGATTTTTTTAATATGTTACATTTATTTATTCAGGCAGAAAAAAATCTTGTGCAGCTGCCTGTGTATAGACGACATTATACAGTACTTTAAACATTTGTAAAAGTATGTAAGTAATATATCAAAGTTTCTCAACTTGTTTTCTTTGTGTGTGTGCTTTGCAGGAGATGGCGGTGCGGGCGTTGAAGCAAACAGGAAGCAGGAACATCGAAGCGGCCTTAGAGTACATCAGCAAAATGGGTTACCTAGACCCTCGCAAAGAGCTCATCGTCCGTGTCATCAAGCAGACTTCACCAGGTACAAATACGTCCTCCTAATCTTAATCATGATCATAATCTAATGGTCCACTTTTAACTACACAGTAAGGATGCAGTTGCTGTTTTCTGAGTGGTATTTCTTGTCCTTACAGGAAAAGGCGGCATGCCAAATACTATGGATCACCGGCCTGCGATGGAGGCCTCAGGTGAAGCAGCTGTGATGCCTCCATACCATCAGATGGGGGCTCCCATGTATGAGGGGGCAGGGGGATATGGCCCTGAGGGGGAGATGCCCAGACCCTACATGAGTGCCCCGCCTGTGATGAACTACATGATGCCCCCACCGGGCGCAGCACAGGGAAACCCGATGGGTCGACCTCCTAGTATGGGCACCTATCCACCAGTGATGGCCGCCCAGAGCAACCCAGCCAACACCATGTACCCTCCAGGGGGCCAGCAGAAAGGCTACCCTGGGAGTATAGAGCAGCACGGGCCCATGATGAGCTACAATGTTCCCGGTCAACCTCTGCAACTCCAGCCACAGCCACAAGGGGGCCCTGTTCCAGGTTCACACTATGACTACGGTCATGCCAGGCCGCACATGATGGAGCCGGCTAGCTATGGCGTTAAGAGGACCCCTTCCTTCCAGAACAAGATGGCACCGCCCCCCATGGCGCCCCCAGACAACTACGTTAACATGCAGGGGAAAGGGGCCATGGGCCAAAATGGACCTGGAGGCGGAGGAGGGGGAGGGTACCCCACTAACCTGTACTTGCCCCCTCATTCACACCCCCGACAGGCCAGCCCCACCTCCCACCAAGTCCACATGATGTCCCGTTCTCCAGGTGGAGTGTCAGCCATGGGCCCGGATTTCTCAGATCTGCCGCAGAGTTTGATGACACCATCCAGGGCCAGCCTCAACCTGGACCTGTATGAGCACCACTGGGCGGGGCCTCCAGGCCCGGAAGGGGCCCCTCCAGCCAGGCAATCCCAGCCCCAGGGCCCATTCAGGGGGGAGGTGCGTGTCCCCAGCAGAACCAACTCCTTCAACAGTCGCTCTGCAGGACCCAACGTTGTCCGGCCTGCGATGGCTGCGCCTCCTGCAGCTGGAAAACAGGACCCCTCCTTGGGCCCACCAAACACCATCACGGCTGTAACATCCCCACCTATTCAACAGCCCGTCAAGAGCATCCGTGTGATGAGGCCGGAGCCCAAGACAGCTGTGGGACCTTGTCACCCAGGCTGGATGACGGCTCAGGCCCAGGATGCAGCAGAACCTCTGGCCTACATGCCGGAGGAGACTTACCCACTTGAGCCTGCTCAGGAGCCACGCTGCCCGCCACCACCTTACCCCAAAAGTCTGCTCATGTCGGGCGAACCAGGGGCCCTGGATGGAGCCATGTGCGGAGCTCAGGACCTCAGCAACCCTGCAGCCAGAAGCTCACGCAACGGCAGCGGAGGGAGTTGGAAGGGAGAGGAGAGCCAGCAGGTGAAAGAGAAGACGAAGATGAGCAAGGGAGAAAAAACGGTGAAGGACAAGAAGCAGATCCAGACGTCACCAGTTCCATTGAGGAAGAACGGCCGCGACGAGGAGAAGAGGGAGTCGCGCATCAAGACCTACTCACCTTTCGCGTTCAAGTTCTACATGGAGCAGCACATAGAGAACGTCATGAAGACCCACCAGCAGAAACTCAACCGCAGGCTTCAGCTGGAACAAGAGATGTCGAAGGTAAGACTTATTCAAACTTCTGATTTACCTGAATCACACACAGGAAGAGTAAAAAAACTGTTATGCATGAAAATGTTTTGTGTCACATAATTAGTAGAAAACTTGTGAGTGAGACTCAGACTTTGAAAGTTAATGAAATAGATCGCTGTCTTCAGGTTGGAGATCAATATAAAACTCATAAATGTTGTGGAAAATTGTCAGAAGTGAAAAATCCATTTGTATTTAAAAGACTAAAAAACCCAGTGGATGATGGGTTGTTTGGAGAAGTGATGTCCAAGACGTTGCCGCCCAGAAACTTCTCCCTCTGGACTTTTGTGATAGACAACAAAACCTTTGTCTTGGTGTCAGGAGTCAGTGAGTTCACTTTAGTGTTTGCATGAGCTTGTCCTGGATCATGACTTTGCCCTCTGACCTACTTCAAAGTGCCTGAAAGACATTCTTTAGATGAGACAAAATACCACAGTCACACCCAGACGGTCCAATAACACAACGGGTTAACTCCGACCACACAGGTCAGGGTGTGCCGGGTCGGGCTCTAATGCTGCATTCCGAGGACGTTACTAATCATAAATGAGAAATTAATGTCCACCATCTTTGTCCAGGCTGGACTTTCGGAGGCGGAGCAGGAACAGATGAGGAAGATGCTGAACCAGAAGGAGTCCAACTACAACAGGCTACGTCGAGCCAAAATGGACAAGTCCATGTTTGTCAAAATCAAGACGCTGGGCATCGGCGCCTTTGGTGAAGTGTGTCTGACGCGTAAAGTGGACACGTGTGCCCTTTATGCCATGAAAACGCTTCGCAAGAAAGACGTCCTCAACCGCAACCAGGTGATTTAATTGTTCATTCATCCACCAGGAATGTGCCTTTGAATGTAATGTTATTGAAAACTGCTGGTGACGAGTTGTTGCGTTAACTAATTCAATGAACCTCCTCTGATGCAGGTGGCTCATGTGAAAGCGGAGCGTGACATCTTAGCGGAGGCAGACAACGAGTGGGTGGTGCGTCTCTACTACTCCTTTCAGGACCGCGACAGCCTCTACTTCGTCATGGACTACATCCCCGGAGGAGACATGATGAGCCTGCTCATCCGGATGGGCGTCTTCCCCGAACCTCTTGCGCGCTTCTACGTGGCAGAGTTGACGCTGGCCATCGAGAGCGTCCACAAGATGGGCTTCATCCACCGAGACATCAAGCCCGACAACATCCTCATCGACCTGGACGGACACATCAAGCTGACAGACTTCGGTCTGTGCACGGGCTTCCGCTGGACGCACAACTCCAAGTACTACCAGAAAGGTGAGGAAGTTTAGTATTATGCCTATGATGCTCATGCTAAATGACTTAAATATCTTATCATGCACATCCACACATATTGTTTAAACATGCAACCTATGTAGTACACGTATATATAACTGTACAACCCAAGGTTAAAGATGTGCATAATGGTGTGATCACAAACGTACAGCATGATGAGGTAGAAGAAAGAAGCCTGCGTGTTTTCTGTCTGTCTAACAACATAGTTCCTCTTCTTCTGTCTTCAGGAAGTCACATCAGACAGGACAGCATGGAGCCCAGTGACTTCTGGGACGACGTGTCCAACTGTCGCTGTGGTGATCGGCTGATGACACTGGAGCAGCGTGCCAACCGTCAGCACCAGCGCTGCCTCGCTCACTCTCTGGTGGGAACACCCAATTACATAGCGCCTGAGGTGCTGCTGCGCAAAGGTGAGTGACAATAAGACGGACACTTAACGGAGACACAGCTGAACAGTGTCTGAAATAATAATAACAATGATACAAATATGTATCTGACAACTGAAAACCCTTTTTATCCTGTGGTTATTGAATCAAATTGAATCCAGATTTAAGGGTTTCGATGCTGCTGCTTTGAGTCTCACGTGAAGGACATGTGACAACTTGTGTAAAAAAAGGACCAGAGGCCTAAGAATTAAAAATAACCTGATTCATGAACCAAATTAAAAGTACTTTCACTCTTTGCCTTTGTCTTTTGATGGAGTGAACAATGTTGAAATTATTTTTTTCATTAACTATGATTAACTATTTTTTTGAGTAAACAGTAGAAAATGTTGATTTGATTTCAAATGAATGTTATGAGGAGTAGAGCCAACACAATAGGAAACACTGCATGTGTCCGTACAGATGCTTAGAACAGCTGATTGTGCTGTTTGTATGTAAAGTGAGAGAACTCATAGATTCATCTGATATCCGTGTGCAGGTTACACTCAGCTGTGTGACTGGTGGAGTGTCGGAGTAATCCTGTTTGAGATGCTGGTGGGACAGCCGCCCTTCCTGGCTTCCACACCCACCGAGACTCAGATTAAGGTCAGTGAAGAAGTCAAATATTCCCCAGGTTTGATTTACATTAAAATCATTGACCAGCAGATGAGTGACTCCTGGTGTCAGTTCAGGTGCAGCAGACAAACTGCTCTCAAAAGTCCCTCCGAAACTCTGGATCTGACCTGACTGTGTAGTAATCTCATGTCTCTCCCTCCCACAGGTCATTAACTGGGAGAGCACGCTGCAGGTGCCTGCACAGGTCAAACTCAGCCCAGAGTCTGTCGACATAATCGCTCGTCTCTGCTGCTCCGCAGAGGATCGGCTGGGCGCCAATGGAGCCGGCGAAATCAAGGCCCATCCCTTCTTCAGCCAGACGGACTTCTCCAGCAATCTACGGCAGCAGCCTGCCCCCTACAGGCCCAAGATCGCCCACCCGATGGACACGTCCAACTTTGACCCCGTGGAGGAGGAGGGCGGCCCCGGGGCATGGAGTGACAGCGGGGACAGCACCCGAGCTTTGGACACGCTCTTCTCGCCGCATGGGAAGCACCCAGAGCACGCCTTCTACGAATTCACCTTCCGGAGGTTCTTTGATGACAACGGCTGCCCCTTCAGATACCCCAAACCGCTTGAGGCCAGCGAGATGCCGCCGAGCATCACCGGAGCCAGTGGCATGGGGGAGGAGGAGGAACAAGACGAGGAGGAGGTGGATGACGAAGAAGAAGATGAAGAGGAGGGAGAAGAGCAGGGGGAGGGATGTGAGCCGGTGTACGTGTAGAGCTGCAGACTGAACTCTTACTAACGTTCATCATTCAGCTCGTGACCCTCCCGCCCTCTTCTTCTGTTTATGTGTCTGTGTGTGTTTATGCATATCTGGCATGTGTGATTGTTAACTTGCAGGAGCAGGAACATCGCCACCTTGTGGAATCTATAGTGCGTCCACCCTGACTTCAAATACAAGACTCCCCTGATCCGGGACCAAGAGACAACATTCAGCGTGTTATCAAGGGTGAAGCGTATGCGGTTTGCAGAGCAAGACTCAGACTGTTCAGGTTGCACGGAGATCCTCGGGAACGTAAGGATGTCTGGATCCAATGGTTCTAGTTAGAGGACGGCTTCTGGTTCTTCCAGCAGTTTCTTCTCCCATTCCTTCCACCCTTGGTCTTACGGACAATCGAAACACCTCGACGGTGATTGTCTGGCACGGGAAGTTACTCCCTGTTCTACCTGAGCTGCTTTTTACGGCAATGTGAAGAGTGGAACTAGTTTACTTGTTGATCATGCACGGGGGAAGGGGGGGATTCGGGTGGGTTGGGGACTAGCGACACACCTCTTTCACAGCTGCTGCAAAATAAGCTACAAAACGCATGCGTGCACGCACTCACACTTATTCAGTTCAGCTCGTGTTCGGGTCACAAAGGATGAAAGTGCACGGCTCTCTGCAGATAGATTGTCACTGTCTCAGAAGTCGTCTAAGACCAGATGGAAAAACTAATTCTCCTGAATTTCACCAATAGAGAAAAAGTTGTTTTTGGCCTGAAAGAGAATTCATCATTGAATTTTTCACATTTTTTTATATTTTTGTGCCTTTCTCTTGAATTTCTACCTTTGTGACATTAAATTTTAAAGGAGACATATGATGCTTCTTTTCAGTGTTTCTTTGCTGTAGTGTGTTGAATGTAAAATTGCCGCAAAGCCCAAAGTCCACATTAAAGGGAGCTCCTCATAGTGTTTCAGACAAAGGCTGAAAAGAGGAGCTGCAGCAATGAACAGTCTGTTTTCGGATCACTACAACATGTAAACTTTTAAGTAATGACACTATTTAGAATTGTCAACCTGAGTATGACCAGAATATGTCTCCTTTAAAAAGAAAATAGAAAGAAACCAAACAAAAGAGTTTTTGGTTGTTCTGTCCTCTACATCCACAGCTGCCTCATTTTGTGCCAACTGTAGTTAATGTTTTGTCCTGAAGATGGAGCCAGATACTCCTTCCCTCAGAGGTCGCTGTTACAAATATCCTTGTTATTGTGAAATACTTCCTGTTACTGACTCTCTGTCTGGACTCACCATTTCAAACGTTACCTCCAGAAAAGATCCACAAAAGACAAAAGAGCAAAAGAGAGTTTGTAGAGTTTGGTTTGGGCTCTACAGCCAGATTTTAGTTTCTAGTCCGATCCAAGACTGAACCACAAACCAGAAATTTCAATGTCAGCCTCACATTCTCAAATCACAGGAGGAGTCGGATCAGATGAAAAATATATTTTTGTTTAAATGATCTGTTTATTTCACGTGTTTGCACAACAAAGTTTTTTTGTTTCAAAGACTGATTCACAAAGGCCTGAAACGTCAGTGTCTGACTGAGACGTACAAACACATACACACACATTGACCAAGGTGAACAATTTTACAGCTATTTCTGAAAGAAAGATCAGCCCCACCATTTTAACTTAACCAGCCTCCTCGGTCCACAACAACACAAAGCGACAAGTTCTTACAACAGCCAAACATGTGATAGTTTGACTATGTGCAATACAAAAAAAATACATTATATATAGTTTTCTAAACACTTACTATCTTTTTTTTTTGAGCTTTCAGTACTGAAATGTACAAATATATTGGTTTATATATATTTTCTTTTTCAGTTACATCATGCTGCTTATTAATGTGGTTAATATTATTTACATTATTATTATAATTGTTATGACGTGTACCTGTTTTTGCCTTTTTAAAAGAAGTGTTGGCTCAGTTGCCGTGTGTGCGTGGGTTTTGAAAGTAACGAGCTATGTGCCTTTTCTAATTGAATGTTGGAGTGTGTGTGTCGGGTCCGGTGACAGCAGGCGATGACGACGATGATGATCAGTGTTTGCAGAACCCTTTCTCGCTTCACCTCCTGCGGCCGGGCTGGTCCTGAACGCAGGAGAGAGGAGCGTGTAAAAGGTTTCACGGTTCAGAAAGAGACAGTAGAAGTTAGAGGAGGAGGAGGAGGAGGAGGAGGAGCGAGGCAGGTCGGCTTTAGGAAATGTAATTGTAAAATAAGAATGAATTGCTTTCTCTATTTTACGAACAAACGGTTAAACTTCAGTAAGGAGTTGTTGTTTGGTACATTTTCTTTATTTATCCGAAATGACCACAAAGTTTGAGTGTTGTTAAACTCTGTACTTTTACTACAGAATGGTGCCGTGTCCTGCGTCACTCAGCAGACAACACGTCATCCTACACCTTCATGCTTATTGACAATCAGTAAACGGTGACCGCTCTTTGAACTGAGCTGTGTGCTTCATTAATACTCAGCCGTTCCAACAGTATTGTGAATTTGACTTAATGTCGGCGTAACGCTAAAGAAGTCAGAACTTTTCCAGTGATTCTCTGATGCAGAACTGGTAGAATGATGAAAAAATGTGTGGATAAGATTTGTTACAGATGATTTTTTTTTTATTATTATTATTATTTTGCTTGACAATGTATTGAACGTTTTGCTTTTTTCTGAAAATGTGCCTTGTGTTCTAAAGTGAGCAGCACAATCTTTAAAAGATTTCCTTCTCTACGATCTTCTGTTTTTACACAGACCTCTGTTGTCACTCTTGATGTGGGGAAACTGACAGAGCCAATTCTGTTCCATGTTCACACTGGCTTTGTTTACATGCACAAACATTACTGTTGTTATTCTGGTCGGCAATTTACCTCACGTAGAGCTAGAGCGGCTCAGAAGAGCTCATAACTCTGCCAACAGTCCCCTTAGTACTCTAAGTACTCTAAATTATGACCTGGGTAATTGGTCTAAACGTCCAAAAATCTCAAAGTGTTAAATATTTTGTTTAAAAAAATATTCCTGGATCCGTCCCTTTGCTGAGATCTGTGCTAAAATGTTATGTGTTTTTTTCTTGGCCCATGTTGTTCCAACAAGTTTTGTAGAAATCTGTCGAGGAGTTTTTCAGCAGGGGGCGAAATCAAAACTTCCTTGGTGGATAATTTGACAAGGCTAAAGCTTCTGCGACCAAAAACTGAAGAGACATATCTGAAAGTGCCGCTTTTTTTACACCATTAAAATTGTGTTTACAGTGACTGTTTATTTCCAGTTACGATAAATAGTTTCAGGGTGGTTTTTATTTATAGTGGACTGTTCACAATTTTAATTTCATTTCATTTCATAGACTGAGAATGTTTCAACTATGAATGTGTCTGTAAACACAGCCAGTGTTTCCTGTGAGCTCCTGACCAGAGCCACAGTCTTCTGCAGGTCCATCACTTATGGTTTAGGTGCCTTGCTCGTTGGCACCGTCACCTTGACTGTTAAAGCAGGCAGACGTTGCTCTCTCATTCTTCCCCATCCAGTTGTTTCTGTGATCCGGTCCAGACGTCCTTCCACTTCTCTCAACCTCTCGTTGACCAGGACAGACTGCTGCATGAACAAATAGCTTTATAACGACTCTGTGCAGAGTGTGTGAGTGCCACAAAGTGTGTGAGGTGTTTCCTGGATGTGTGGTGTTTTTTTTTTTAAGGTTAAAGAGTGATGACTGACAATCTTCAACTGACTTGATTTCTTCACTTGTGTATCTTTTTCATTTTTGTATTTTTACTCTAAGGAGCCTCTGCTCATTTTCGTTGCTTCTTAATGTATGATACATTCTGTTACTCTTGAATTTATATTTATACAGATATACATATTTTTTGTATCTTTCTTCCCCCTTGTGCTAATGTTCAAACATCCATGTCTACACAGTATTATAGATGATGTAATGTGGACAGCTTTCTCTTTTTTTTACATTTATGTATGAACTGAGAATTTGTAAAAATGCTTTCACAGTCCTTGTGTGTAAAATGTATGTATAAATTAAATTAACCAATGTGGACTTGTGCTTTATTTCATTGTTTTTGATGTGTGAACGGAGGAGGATGACAAAGAAGCTTTATTACCATTTTTAAACATGTTTAGGCTTGGGCTATATCCCATATTGATGGATTATTTTAATTGTAATCGAGTAAAAAAATCCCCTTGAGAAGAAGAGTGGAACACCTACAAAATATTACAGTTTTCTTCTTGTAAACTTGTGACTTTTTTCCTCATTAAATTACAACTTCATTTTCATTATATTACAATTTTACTCTCTTTAAATACCAACTGGTAGTTCTTGTATTATGACTTTCTCATAATATTCCAACTTTATTCTCCTAATCTAATGACTTCCTTCTAAATTCGTCTTAATTCTCATAAGATTGCAACTTTCTCAAAATATTACAATTTTATTGTAAAATTATGAAGTTTACTTCATCAAATTACAACTTAATTTTCATGATATATTGGCTCCAGGATATCAGACATTTAAGCTCAAAACTTTAATTTCTAGTTGAATTTGAATATTGGGGCTTACGGAGGAACAGTGTGAAGACATTTTGTGGTTTTTTATACGTTTGAAGAATTGATTTGATATTGATTTAAATGTATTCAGTCAGAAATGAACCAAATACAATTTGAAAACAATTTCTATTGAATGCTCACAGGTGCTTACTGTCTATCAGGCACATTGTACAAGTAAACTATTATTATTTTTTATTTATAGGCTCTTTTTTCTCAGGATTTCGGAGGGGGTGGCCCACCAGTGCCCCCTGTTAACAAACTGGGGTTAACTTAATTGTTTGTATTAAAATTAGCCTGTTTAAGATGCTGTTTAAAGGTACAGTGTGTAGAATTTAGTGATATCTAGTGTTGAAGTTTCATGTTGCAGCTGAACACCCCTCACCTCACCCTCTCCTTCCAGACATGAGAGAGAAACTGGTAGCTTCAGTTGTCATAAAAACTCAAAAGGTGTTTAGTTTGTCCAGTCTGGACTAATGTAAAAAACATGGCAGCCTCCGTAGAGAGGGTCCCCTCCATGTAAATATAAAGTATTTAAATATAAAGCGCCTTTTCTGGGGTCAAGAAAACTACAATTCATACAATTCAGAGGAAACAAACTAGTCAGAATCAGAATTCTTTTATTTGCCAGGTATGTTTGCACATACAGGAAATTGCCTTGGTGTCATTTGTGCGCTACTTATGTACATAAAACAACAATATAAAAAAAACAACAATATATAAGAAATTGAATAAAATAAAATAATGAGAACATCATGAGGATCATTCTGCATTACATTTCTGCCAGTAGTTCCCTTTCACCTAAATCTTACACACTTGACCTTTAAAGTTATATTTCCAATATGGCCTCAAAACTTTGTGGACATATTTAAATGTGACACCATTCTAATAATTATTCTGTGCCCCCCCCCCCTCTATCCCCGCCCCTGGCTCAGTAGAGTTTCCTGGTTCCTCACTGAACCTCCGGACAGTTCAGCGGTGGATCTCAGACTCGTACCCGTGGATCGAGCCTCCATCCCGGTGTGGAGGAGGGGGGGAGAGCATCGGAGCACGACCATGTGCAGGACCCGCCGCCTCCGCGCTGAGGATGACGGGATCGAACCCCCCTCCTCTCTCCCTCCCTCCCTCCCTCCCTCCCCGGGTACCAGCGCTGTACTCCCACAATGCAGAGCGCATGGCGCGTCATTGGAGAGGGACGATGATGGCGGCGGTCGGTGCACCAGAAGTGATCACACAGCTGGAAAGCGCTGCCAAAGTTTTAATGGTGAGGAACCGCTGGTTAGTGTGAGGCCTCGGTGGAGGAGCTACATGTGTGCTAACTTTATCCCGGGTTGAGTCCGGGGCCGCTGGTTGTTGGATGCGTTCGCTTCTCTTTTTTATCGACCGGAGAAACGATGCGTTGCGGAGGGAAAAAAAAAAAATCCACCAAACTCATATTATTCCTTAAAAAAACAGGAAATTCCTGCTTTTTTTCTCCCTCGTCCTCCATTTTCCTCTCGTGATCCTTCACCTGAGGACGTGACCCCGCGTGTGGACACTTTACACCCGGGCTCACGTTCACACAAACTTCGGCTCTTTCAGGTGTTACATCAAGTTTCCCCGCTCACAGTGGGAGCATCCCGGGCTTCAGCTTTAGCTTCGTCCCCCCTGGACAAAACCCCAGGTTCCATCATTTGTCCGGTGCTCCTCCGCCCTGGTTCTCCCTCCTCCATCAGCCTCCGTGCAGGGAGCAGCCACAGGAGCTAAACCATGTGTGCTGCAGACAGGAGCTAGCTACAGCCTCCTCCTGCTTTCTGCCATCTTGCTTTGCCATGTTGTGGGATTCAAACCCTGCGAGAGGAGACTGATTATTTCAGGAGATGCTCACATGTGAACACCAGAGCAGCTTCACGTGTGGGTCAGCAGGTGTCATTTCAGTCACAGGGTTTCACTGTTTATTACTGAGTTTAATGCATCCTGACTAAATATAAAGTCTAACTCAGTGGTCTGTCTTCACATCGGATTTTAACATGTGATAATTCACTGCTGCTAGTGTTGTATTGATGCTCGGCCACATGGAAAATCTCAGGATCTACTCTGTTGTTTCATTCTTGAGTCTTTCTTACCTTCTCTGTGTTTAACTTTTGTTTGCCACTTTTTTCCTTTTGTTGGAAGATTTATTGCAACAATTTTAATCAATTAAAGTCAGATGCATAACCCTTTTACTTTGTTCGATTGATAGTTGTGTTCAGTTGATAAACAGTGATAACACATGTAATCAAATTATGGATTTTGTAAATTGGTACATGTTCAGTCAGATCTCTCTTTAAATGAAAGAATTAGCCTGGTTATTATTATTTGATGCTTCACACCAGCCTCACAAGAGCTTTGCCTTCACATCGAAGGTGTGGGGGGGGGGGGTCGTCCTCTCAGATGAATGGGTGTTTCCTGAGCTGTATTCTTTTGACACTCAATAAAAGTGTGTGTTCTTGTGTATACATGTGTGTTGTGCACATTTGGAGCTGCAATGCCTCTTATGGATTGTCTGATTGGATGTGTCTAGTTTTTATCTCACTTGTAAAGTATGACCACGATGAAAATATCAAGGTGTACGATGGTAATAATCCTTTCATAAGGCACTGTTGGCTCTAACTTGTTTGTCTTTTACAGGCACCACCGTCCATGGTCAGCACAGAACAGAGGCAACATGCTGAACACGTGTTCCTCTCCTTCAGGAAGTCCAAGTCTCCTTTTGCCATCTGCAAGCACATCTTAGGTAACTGACTTCAGATCATTTCTTATTTTAAAATGTGCCTTATTTGCTCGAACGCACTGACTGAACAAACATGCTTTTCTTGAGTTTATGCATTATCTGCAGATATTGTTTAATGGGAGGAATGCGTGTATTCAACTGTGTTGATCCAGTCTGTTCTTCAGCCACTGATGTTATGATCACAAACCTTCTGCTCTGGTGTTTGGATATAACAAAATGAGCTATGGAGTAAAATCTAATATATTAAACATCAACATTTGTTACTTTTTATACAAACCAGTTGTGAAAAAGCTTCTTTTAGGATCAGATCTATTTCATATGATGTTGCATTTAGCTTTAGTAGTTATTGTGTCCCACCCATGACTTTTAAAAGTCTCCTTATTCTCTTGTCTCCGATATGTCTCTTGTCTCCCTTTACTCTCTGCCTCTCCAGAGACCAGTAAGGTCGACTATGTGCTGTTCCAGGCAGCCACAGCCATCATGGAGGCTGTTGTGCGGGAGTGGATCCTGCTGGAGAATACCAGCATCGAGTCGCTGCGGACTTTCCTCCTCACTTACGTCTTACAGAGACCCAAGTAAGAAAGAAAATTGTATTTATGAACTTACTGTTGAGTCTTAAGATTTGTAAGAACATCAAACAACCCCATCTCATGTTACATCAGTCACAGAAACCTGAAGTCATTTGTTTTAATTTGTTTATACAAATAAATTTGATGCCATTTGAAATCAGGTTTTTGACAATATGCCTTCAATTTTCTCTCCAAAGAAGAGTTACTTGAATTGTTTTCAAAAATATTTATTTTTTAAATTTCAAATAACCATTTTTGTGCAGTATGAGTTGAGCAATGACATCAGATACCCTGCACTTCTTCATACAGGCAAAACCGAGCATTAAAGATTCTGAAAGATTTTGGGGGCTGATGTCGATATCTGTATTTGGGAGTAAAAAATTCCCTATTCCAGTATATTATCTGGTATATTTTTATTAAATATAAGTGTCAGTGATTCAGAAGTCATTGTAATCAAACCCATAACCCTTCAAAGAAATGTAATTGAGGCTTGATATTTTACAGCTTAACCATAAAAACAAAGAAAATACAAATATATAGAACTCGCATTAACTAAAGCCTGGTAACAATATGCTGGCCGGGCTTTAGAGCATTTACTAGATTGAAGAAGTAGAAGAGCCTTCACCCACAGACACTAAACTCCTCTTTCAATTTATTTTTCACAGTCTCTGCAGTGGTCAGTGATGATTCTCTGTTACAGTCACTGTAAGTTTCTCTGTGACTGATCGTCTCCCTGTTTTCTTCAGTCTGCAGAAGTATGTCCGCGAGCAGATTCTTTTGGCCGTGGCGGTTATCGTGAAGAGAGGCTCTCTCGACAAATCCATCAACTGCAAAAGCATTTTCCTCGAGGTCGGACATCTCATAAGCAGCGGGAACCCCACAGTGGTGAGAAGCACATGTCTGAAAGTAGTGATTCACATTTTACAGTATATAATGATTTGTTTAGCAGTTACTAGAATATGGGATTAATTCTGATGGTTCTTAAGCAGATTGTCAAAATGGGACATTGGCTGTTTAGGAACATTTTAAAGAGAGAATTTCCTCTTTGTTTTACTTTTCTACTACATGAAAACTATTTTGTGAACTGTTCTCAATTTATACGGCTCTTAACCCATAAATTATCTTATGCAGTAATTATGCTGTCTGTAGTCAGTGATTGCTGCTCTGTCA